AGGCTGGCTTCGAACTCATATGTACCTGCCTCTGCCTCTTAAGTACTGGGACCTGAGGCATATGCCACCAAACCCAGCTTCTAAATTCTTTGAACTTGTTAATGTGCTGCCTTATAAAAACAGCCAGCAGCCAGGAGAAAGTTAGAGATTTAAAGGAACAGAAATGAGTAGGAGAAATGCTCCAGGTAGGAGCCAAACCATACAAACCAAACATGGACAGCACTTACCACAAACCCTCGGTCTTGTATCTCAAACCCAGAAGAGGCCACCATCTCATCAAGTTGAAGTTAGCAGGTCTTCTGCCTATAGTCCTGTTTTTCAAAGTCACCCAGTGGCCAGCCTTCCCCTCCCCCATGCCTGTTCCTCTCTTTCCCTAGGGCTTCCCCAGGGCCCTCCCTGTCTGAGCACCAGTTGCCAGGGACAAACCTTCCTCTTAAAGGAACACACTGGAAGCTTCAGGACTGTTTCAACAGGGGTGTGTGCCTCAGGGCAAGTCATTCCATCTCTGGGTTTCAGTGGCTTCACCCCTGAAGGATTACGGTGGAGCTGCTATAGGAAAAACGCTAATAAAAACTACCTTACTGCTGGCCGGATGGCACTCAGGAGTCTAGGCCAGCCAAGGGCATACAGCAAGAGTCTAAAAACAAAACAAATAAAAGGCCAGGTCTGGTGGCACAAGTTTGTAATCCCAGCTCTTGGAGGTGGAAGCATAAAGATCAAGAGTTCAAGGTCATCCTTGCTGCACAGAAAAGTGGAAGGAGTTCCAGAGCTCCTATCTCAAAAAACAAAAAAGGCAATTCACAGCAAACCTCACCCAGAGGGATATGCATGCAGTTTGGGAAAAGGGATCTTTGTCTTTGGGAAGTTATCTTAATCCTGAGCCGTAAAGGAGAAAAACCAGTTCCACAAATTTGAGCCAAATTTGAAGCAAGCTTTAAGTGCTGTCCAGGAGGGATCTAGGTCCGGACCACTCGCTGGGATCCTCAGCTGGAGGGAGACACCTGTTGTAGGATTTTTAAGAACAAAGCCATATAGCCACTGTATTTTCCCATGTGGCTTTTATTTTTCAAGAGCTACAACTCCCAATATTCAGGAAGTTACCTGGTCCTTGGGCAGGTAGAGTTTACAGGTTAATTTCAGTCCATACATTCTCCACCTGAATTGTATCCTGGGTCAAATCCTTGACTCTATGGGTACTTTTTTATATTGGGGTCTAATAGCCATCAGCTTAAGGTACCCAGACAAGACTTACCTAGTTAAGCCTTTAAGAGCCAACAGTATACAGAGTTAATAAAATGTAACTAATAATAAAAAATTAAAAATTATTAAAAAAAAGAACTCACTATGTTAAAAAAAAAAAAAGAGCCAACAGTAATTAGCAAAAGTAGAAGGGCCAAAGGCCCTTTGATGGCTGACATCTAGGAGGAGCCTGGAAATGGATAGTCATTTGTTTCATCTCAGCTCTCCTTTCTGTAATATTTGAATATACAAGATTAAAATCCGGAATAGTTTGAATAGAAGTAACAATTTTCTCTTCAAGTCATAATACTTCTTTATTCTGCATAAAGCAAGCCAAGTGCCCTATCATATTGTAGAACTGTTTCTGTTAATAAATCTACCAATTGATAAATCTGAGCCCACTTTCATGGTATGCCAACTGACATTATAAGTAGCCATTCTGTCCCCTACGCCAGGGAATTTCCTTTTAACTTAGCATTTCAGCCTGTCGGTGGGGCAAGGGGTTCTCTTCTGTAACCGCTTCCAGCTGAGACCAGGGCATTGTTGCCAGGGCCCAGGAAGGCTGATGGGCCAGCCAAAGGCTGGGGAATGGGGCATTTATCAGAAGCATCTGGTTAGCTGACCTGCCTGAAGAGACAGGCAGCAATCGCTTTCAGAGCTCAGCAGTTTGCAGTCTGCAGGTGATCCCTGGATAAAGTCAGCCAAGTGGCAATCTGCTGAGACTAGTACAGACTAGAGACAGAAGATTGAGGAACCTTAAAGAAAGCCTTACATTTGGAACATTCAGGCCCATAGTCCTAGTAATTGAGGAAAGGGAGGAGTCTCAAGACCAGGAGAGAGATCTGACCCTCAGGAATAGAAACAGGCCGTACTTACCTGGAATCCATTTGACCTGTGACAGGTGGATCCAAGTCTTATGACTCCCTGAAGCTTAAACAAATTGTCAGTTTACAAAAAGAGATAAAAGTTTCTAGACATATTAGCATCAATCTGTACTGAAATCCACATTGTAACTCAGCCAGAGTAGACTCGTGCCTTTGAGATCTAGCAAAAACTAGAGCTTTGGGTTAAAAAGCATGATCAATTTCTTCTCTGTCCAGAGAGCTGGATATATGTTTTCAGTCCAGTGAGAAGTTATCTTTAAGTCTATATTTAGAAGACAACCAAAAAAACTTAAAAGTTTGAGTTTGTTACTGAATAGTAAGAAGTATTTGCTTTACCAGGTTATAAAAACTTCATTGACCCATGTTAAAATGATGAATCTTAGTATGACAATGGCATAGAAGGGGCAAGAAATCTGAAACATTCCTCATCATCTCCCATTTTTATATGCCTTAAACTATGTTTATACCTTTCCAACGTGTATTTATACATCATAAATTATTTTCTGAGACCCTCAGAACTTAAGCTTTTTTATTCCTTAGAAAATTTCTGAGACCCTCAGATCTTAGAGACTTTAAACCTATTTCTTTCCATCTAATCACTTTTATCAGAGACACGAGTAGTTATTACTGAGAACAGTTATTGCAAAGCATGTTTTTCATCAGTAAAAAGTTACACCTGAAATATGCTTGTCCTTTAATGTGAAATCTACTAGCAAGGCAAACCTGTCTGCCTTTTCTTAACAAGAAACCTTCTAACTCTTGATAAACTAACAATGTGGCTGCAGCCTTTGGGGGTTGGTAATGGATTGCCTGCCGCTGCCAAGCTGACAAACCTACAGTTAGCCCAGCTGTCAATACCATCAGAGACCTGAAAAGGATAAGTTATAGCAGGAAGTATAATACAAATGCCCTATGTGTATCAATTCAAATACCAGAGGCCAGTCCATACTCCATTACCTAGATAGTCATCCCAGGCTCCCGTGTTCTCCATGGCATTGGGGGCAGGAGTACCAGGATGGCATCAGTCTTAAGCCACTAGGCCTAGAAGACAAGAAGCCTCTCTGTGGAAGAGGAAAACGGGGAGAGAGGGTAGGTGGATGTTGCAGGATGATTGATCCCATTGTGAACCCTGAGACTGTGAACTGGAAAAACCTGTTTCTTGTTGTGGTGTGGCTCAGCCCTAGTACACACCTTTAGCTGAGGAGCTTCCTGTAAACAAAAGCTAAATAAAACAAATCATAGGTCAAGAGGCAGAGCAAGCAGGCAGTTGACAGGCAGTGAACATAAGTAAACACAGGAAGGGGGGACATTGTGGAGAAGGGGCTTTTCTTCTTCTGGAACATTGGCTGGGTAGGAAGGTCAGCTAGGTGCTTTCTCTGCCTCCCTGAGCTGGCAGGCTTCACCCCAATATCTGGCTCTCGAGTGCCTATTGGTAAAGTTGAATATGTGAGATTTTTGTTTTTAAAAACAACAGGGGAACTGACCTTACTTTGTCTAGGCAAAGCGGGGCAATCAGCTCTCCAGAGTCCTGCTCATCTAGTTTGGACCAATTGGGGCAGTCTTTCCCAGGGGTTAGCGTTACCACAACCCAGGTGGCAGTCATTGTGGTGCACCATCTTTTTTTGTTTTGCTTTGTTTTTGTTGCTTTTCAAGAGAGGGTCTCTCAGTGTAGCCTTGGCTGTTCTGGAACTCGCTCAGTAGACCAGGCTAGCCTCAGACTCACAAAGATCTACCTGCCTCTGCCTCTGCCTCCTGAGTTGAATTGTGGGTTTTGTCTTTTTAAACCCCTGCAAATTGGTGGCACTCTCTGGGGTCCAGGGTGGACCTGACCAGTGTTTATCCTGGTCAGTGTTTAAAGCTTGCTTCAAATTTTGCTCAAAATTGTGGAACTGTTTTTCTTCTCATGACTCTCAAGATTAACACCGCCTAGGAATTCTTCAAGCACTGGGGTTAAAGTCATGAATATTTCTGAGGAAAGCTGGCCCAGCTAAATTTCTGCCCCACTATAATCAAGTTTGTTTTTGAGAAGAAAACATCTGCAGGTCAGAAGCTCTAGCCAAACTTGCTGGGTCTAAGATGCCAGGTGACCTCTACCTAAATGGTAATTCTGTTACCAGGGAAACAGGGGCCCCTCTTTGGGTTCATTAATAAAAGAACAGGGGGAGAGAGATGGCTCAGTGGAAGTTCATTCAGCTCTTGTAGAAGACCCAAGATCAGTTTCCAACTCCAGCTGCAGGGGCTCTGAGGCCTCTGGCTTCACCCTGCGCGTGCGCTCACATATACCCACACAGGCAGACAAATAGTGTAAAGTAAGCCTTACGAAAGGAAACTAACTTAAGGATGACCTCGGAGGGAAGCTTGGAACAATTTTATTAGAGTTTAAAAGAAACATACCAGGGTAAACAAGCTGAAAAAACGGGCAGATGCCAGAAGACGGAGAAGAGAAAGCCATGCCCTTTGAGTTAGACCTAGAGGTTAGTAATGCGGCTTGATCAAGCAGCCCCGAGGCAGAAGCAGAGGAAGGGGGGATACAGAGAGCAAGAGAGCCCAGAACATTGAGGGTAAAAAATTCCCGGGCTATGCTTTTGTGAGCTACCAAAGCGGGTATACCACAAGGTGGAGGCCACACAGGAAACTAGATCCAGGACGGGGTTTCTGCGAAGGCAAATATATTATCTCATTAAAGGGATAATTGTTCCTTCCGTCTCTTTAGCACAGTTTCAGGCGAATCGGTCTTCTTCAGGTGTGGTCCCTTGGCCAAATAAATCGATAGGCCCAGCTGGAGTAACGCACTCTTGTTTTTCTTTGACAGGTTCTCTTCGGAGGGAACAGTAAAACAGGCAGGGAGTGGACGAGGTGGAGCTGCTTAAGTCCCGCTCAGTCCTCTTCCGGCAGTTGGAGCTTGCTGGGGTCAAAATAGTTGGACTCCATGATGGGGAGGCCATTGGCTTCTCGGTATTTCACCAGCCTCCCAGCCTCCCGGCCGGCCCACTCAGTCATCCTGTGGTCTGGCACATAAGCCACAAAGGCGCTGCCGAAGACCAGGACGGAGAAACCGAAGAAGAAGACGGCGTGCATATTCCAGACGTCCACCTCGGGATCCTCCTCGCAGTAGCCGTGGAAGTCGGGGTTCTTCGCGTACACGTTTTTGTCGGGGAGATCTGGGTCCTCCATCCAGTGCACGGTCAGCTCTTCCTGATTCTCTTTTGCCACAGCAGGCCGGGTGGTCACAGCCTTGGAGGAGCTGGATTTCCGGCGGAGCCGGGCAGCCTGGAGGCCTCGAATCGCGGAAAGGCGGCGAGCGCACGAACTTAACCGCCAGGCCGCCATGACGGCTGCAGGGGTGGGGGTGGGGCGGGCGGGGACCGCGGAGGAGATGACCTATACCAGAGGCAGCTTCTGTTCCTCGGACTTGGGGGGAGGGGGGGAGTGTTCGGAGAATAGCGTTCCCTGACTGGTATCAACGGAACACTGACATCCTCCAAGGCTGTGGCATCAGCTCTGACTGCACATTAAAAGACACGCTTTCTAATGGCTGAGAAGAACTGGGAAAGGTGGCTAAGGCAGAGCGTGCCTGGCATTTGCAAGGCTCTGCCTGGGATCAGTCTCCATCACCTTGAGATAGGACCCAAATTCCCAGCAAATCTGCACTCCCAGAGAAGACATTAATACCATTCCCCTTGGGCTGGAGAGATGGCTCAGAGGTTAAGAGCACCGGCTGCTCTTCCAGGGGTCATGAGTTCAATTCCCAGCAACCACATGGTGTCCCACAACCACCTATAATGAGATATGGTGCCCTCTTCTAGCTCGCAGGTCTACATACATTGTATACAGAATATTGTATACACAATAAATAAATAAATCATATATATATATATATGCATGCCTGTAATCCCAGCACTCAGGGAGGCAGGTGGATCTCTGTGAGTTCAAGGCCAGCCTGATCTACACAGCCGGGACTACGAAGAGAAAACTTGAAAAAAAACAAAAACAAAACCCACTTCCCCTTTATTAGCGCCCTTCCACCTCTTCTCTTTATGTAGACCTATAATCTCTTAACTTCTGGATTTTACCTTCTACTTCTCTCGGTCTTAGTCAAGACTGAGTTTCTTCCCCTGATCAGCTGATGTCTAGTCTTACTGGTTCCACCGTTCCCAGAGGGAAAAAGACTCCTGGTAGTGTGGGGAACGGGACACACTTGCCAAGGACTCAGAGTTTTGAAAGCAACAGAATTTATTTAGCAGTCCTTCAGGGCCAGCCACCAGCTCAGACAAAATGATAGACCAGGTAGGCCCCAAACAATTCTTTTGATAGTCCTAATCACAAATCTCGGCCTCCGGCCCGCTGGGTAGGTAATTGTGTAAGGGATGTGGCTCTAAAAGTGAAAGGCTTCCCCTGAAAGACACAGCTCTTGGGAGGGGGGAGGGGTCCCCGGTACAGGTGTAAGAGTTCTGCTCCAGCTCTGGGAGGCGTCCCCAGTGGAAGCTCGGCTCTGGAGAAAGTGTTCCAGCTCCACCCTGAGAGGCATCCTGGCGATTGATCGGGAGCAAAGGAACACCACACAGTGAACCTCACACAAGAGATTTATTGAAAGGGAAAAGCACAGGATGAGACAGCAGAGAACCCAACAGAAGGCAGAGTTAATGTAGAGTCTTTTTTGGAGGGGGTTGGGGGGGCTTTCCAGGGATAGGTGGGTTTTCGTGCTCAGGAACTGGTGGGTCTTCCTGTTTAGTGATTGGTGGGTTTCTGTGGTAATCTCAGAGATTGGTGAGATTCTGTCTCTTGGCCCTGATCTTGGGGTCAAGTCGGGGTCAGGTGTTTTTCATGTTGGCCCTTTTACCCTACAGCTTGGGGTGTTACAGTCTTCCAGACTGTTTGGTATGATCCCCCACCCCAAATTCCATTTTATCGCCTCAGTTCACACTTAATTTTGGTTCTGAGTTTTGAGGACATGGACCCTTATGCAATGTACATCCTGAGGCTCAAGATGCCCTTCTTCCTCCATGACTCATGGGCTCAGTCCCATAGCAGAATGTCAGAATGGTCCACCTCGAGATAAACTAAATGTGCCTGGGCAAGCAGGCACCAGCTGCTGCAGGGGACTTCTGTCTCTTGCTTGATTGTGAACTGGTAAACTTAAGTCCACCTGAGACAATTTTGGTAGTGGAAATAGACCACCTGTACTTTCCTCTTTGGTTTTTCAAGACAGGATCTCTCTGTGTATCAGTCCTGTCTGTCTTGGAGGCTTGCTCTGTAGACCCGTCTGGCCTCCAACTCAAAAAGATCCATTTGCCTCTACTTCCCGAGTGAGTGCTGGGATTAAAGGGGTGCACAACCAACACCCATCTTATACTTTCTTACAGGATCCCTAGCACCTACGTAAGAGCCAGGTATCCATTAGCAACCCCGGGATTAGTAGGCAGGAACATGGGTATCCTCAGGGCTCTGGGACCTGCCAGTCTAGCTGAAGTGACTCCAGGTTCATCAAGAGGAGACACTGCCTCAATACTAAGGTAGGGTCCTAGCTCAGTGATTAAGAGAACAAGTTGTAGCCGGGTGCAGCGACACACGCCTGTAATCCCAGCCCTCTGGGAGGCAGAAGCAGGTGGATCACTGAGTTCGAGACCAGCCTGGTCTACAAAGTGAGCCCAGGACAGCCAAGGCTACACAGAGAAACCCTGTCTCAAAAAAACAAAAACAACAAAAAAAAAAAAAAAAACAAAGATAGATAGATAGATAGATACTAAAATTGGATACAGTTTTATAGAGATACTGAGAAGATCAGCATGACCCTGTTCTGCCCAGTTCACAAACCCCAAAAGACCAGGAATAAGTAGACTCTGCTGTAAATACATGAGGTTCTTTTTATTGTAAATTACAAGCTGCAGCTTAGGCTCACACACCCCCACCACTGAAGCAGTGGGAGCTGAGTGCACTGTGCCCAGGTTAGTTGGGTGATTTATAGATTCTGGTCCCTCCCAGCATGCCCAAGGCAGGGGCGATTCCTGCCTGGCAAGCATCTATTGGTCAAAATGCTACATTTTGAATTGATTGGCTATAGGAAGGTCCCCAGACCATAATGACCTGGTGTCCCTCCCTAGGGGGATGGGCCAGTTTCCTAGCAACTGTTATCTCTAGTGGGTGGGGAAAGAATGCAGTGAGGTGGTCCTTCCCCTTAGAGCATTACTGGACTTCTCTACCCACCTACTTCAGGTCTTAATAATAGCTGCTAATTTATCTTTTGGTCGCTCAACCCCTGCACAATGATGACGAACAAATTTGTGAAGTGATCCATATTTTTTTAAAGGGGGCCTGGAAAGATGGCTCAGTGGTTCAGAGCACTGTCTGTTCTTTCAGAGGTCCTGAGTTCAATTCTCAGCAACCACATGGTGGCTCACAACCATCTATTCTGAGATCTAATTCCCTTTTCTGACATGCAGGTGTACATGCAGATTGGGCACTCATATACACTAAATAAATAAATAAATCTAAAAAAAAGAACTGAACAAGGTGTAGCAAGCCTTTAATCCTAGCACTCAGGGAGGCAAAGGCAGGCAGATCCCTATAAGTTCAAGGCCAGAAGCCAGCTGGTCTACAAAGTGAGTCCAGGACAGCCAAGGCTACAAAGAGAAACCCTGTCTCAAAAAACAAACCACATACACACACAAAATGGACTTTATTCCAAGACCCACAGTGGATGCCTACAATAGCCCAGCAATAGAACCAACTGTAAAATATACTCTTTTTTTCTACCCATTCATCCTTATGAGTTTATTTTACAAAATCAAGTCCAGCAAGAGATTAATAACAACATCAATTATCAAAAAAAAAAAAAAAATACAGTAAAAGCCCTTCAAATGTCGAATCCCTAGATATCTCACTGTCCTGCACACACGTAACGACACAGGATGATGCAAGGCCTGAAGATGCGCTGTACTGAGGGGAAGAGAATGGGCATTGTGACACAGGGTTAGGACGCCATTAGCTTCCTAGTTAAACACAAAGACTACAGTACCGCAGGTGCAGCTATGGTGACACAGACCCATAACGTCCCTTCTAACGTGAACGTGTGGGACAAAGACACCCCTTCTGTCCCCAACATGACTGGGCCAAGGACAGAATACTCCTCAAAATCTGTGAACTGATCATTTCTGGAATTTTGGACCGTGGTGATCACTGTAACTGAAACCAGGGAAAGACAAGCGAGCTCTGGCTGAGCAGGGTTCATTCGCACAGTTGGGCTTTAAAGAGCCAGTGTGATGCCTGCTGGACGGGAAGGAGGCTTGACGACTTAAGTCAGTCACAGAGAGACCGTGCGTGAGCGCACTCTGTCAGCTCACAGAAACTGAGGCGGAATGATGGGCGCCAGCGTCGTGCAGAGGAGAGCGAGGACAGCTGCTGTCGTGGGGTGCAGGGCTTCATGTCAGCAGATGAAGGGGTCTGGGGAGGGGCTGCAGGGGGGGCCCCCGCACACTGGGAATGACTTGCACCACTGAGCTGAGTGCTGCAAATGGAGAGGTCCTCCTGGGGGAGGCGCCCTGGAGTGTGCTGGCTGAGTGCATAAAGGCCTTGTGATCAGTAACCAGCACCATGAGAAATAAAACTGTCAGGCTGGTAAATATTCGTAAATGTTTATATTTCCTCAGATTTAGGGGGTGGGAGGATGAGTGGGGAGCAGCAGTAGCCATCTTCTTTCTTGGCGCCCTCCTCCTCCCCGCCTCCCACTCTCTCCCAGCTCTGGCGTTTATTCCCTTTCACAGTCCTCATAATTAAACTATCTGCAGCTGGCAAAGATCAGGCCCCTCTCAAAGCACAAGACAATCATAGTTAACAGCTGCGGACAAACTTAAGCAGCCCCGTATCCCACACCTGGGATTAAAACAAAAGCCTGTCCACATAACATAACGGAGTTTTTTTTTTTTTTAACAATTTATTCGATTTTATTTTATGTGCATTAGTGTGAAGGTGTCAGAGCGCTTGGAATCAGCATTACAGACAGTTGTGAGCTGCCATGTGGTTGCTGGGAATTGAACCCAGGTCATTTGGAAGAGCAGACAGTGCTCTTAACCACTGAGCCATCTCTCCAGCCCCCATAACTGAGTTTTTAAAGAAACCAAAACTTCCACTACATGGTAAGGCTAGTAAATATTGGTGATACCCAACCAAAATAAAACAAAAAAGACACTCACATCAATGTGTAGAATTCTCGAGTGCTGAGGAATGTGGCCAGGGCAGTAGAATGACCTCAGCTTGGGGAGTTCTGTCCTGCACATTCCAGGTCAAGTGCTTGAATCCCATCGGCAGTGGGAGACCTTGCCTGAGAGGCTGGAGCATGCCAATAGCAGCGTCTCTGCTCTGCTGGGATGAGGCCCTGTGGAACCTTTGATACCACAACAGGGTTGAGGCAAGTGGCTCTGTATGTGTGAGTCTGACTTGGAGGGTGTGGAGACTGGGGTCAGCCATGTGGGTGCCCCGTGTCTATGGGACCCACCAAGCCCCTGGACAGTGATGTTCAGTGACCTTTCCTGTGAGCAATATCCTCAACCTGAGTCACACTTGGTGGCTGGAAGTCCTGACTTCTGTCTGGACAGATCTCTGACAGGCTCTTTCCATCACCATGAACTGTCACTGCAATTCTTCCGTGCCTTCTCTCTGTGATCAACCTGAGATGTTGAAGAAACTGAGGATGGCAGAGGTGACTCCATTTTGTTTCTCAGACTCTATCTTAAGTTGACTGACCTTGGAGTGACTTGACCCTCACCTTTGGGTTCTGAGAAGAGCCACATAGCCCTCCACCCTGCAGGTTGTCATAAATGCCACAGAATGTGTTAATAGGTCCTCCATTCCACCCAGCAGGCTATCGTACAGATATCTTACTATCTGTCGGTTTGGCCAGGTGGCTTGAACAATTTGCCTAAAGGACATCTCGATTGCTGAAACCCCTACCCAAAACTTTCCCTTCCCTGTAACTGCAAGGCTTGGAATTCCCTGCTCACTGTTCTTCCCTTTAAAAACTTTGCCTCCCTGAGACTCAGGGCCTCACTTTCTAACCTGCTGCGGCAGGGAAGATTGGCCGCCCGAGCTTAAGCTTGAATAAAGATCCTCCTGTGATTTGCAACGGACTTGACTCCTAGTGGTCTTTTGGGGTCTCTCAAATCGGGCACAACAATGTAAGGACAGCAGCCCTTCTAGGTCTGTGAACGTTTTTACCACCTCAAGGCACCTCAGGGACCACTGCCATCTTTTGTCACCCAGGCAGGAGCACTGTTGACTCTTAGCAGAAATCCATTTCTATCTGTCCATGACACTTATGGAGTCCTGATGTCTACCAGCAGTTTGTCACAAACCTAGTGACTGTTCATAGGTCTTTATGGGTGACATAGGGTCATCTGTCACTCCTGAACACCAGCACAACTCTCTCTCTTTCCTTTTGTTTTTATGATACAAGCTGTTGGAGATCTCGGTGGAAAGACTGCTTTCACCTTGGCCTTCACTGGAGTCAGTGATAAGCTACCAAGCCTAGCTCCTTTTGTTTGAGACAGCAGGTGGGATGTCTTGTCAAAGTCACAGCTTTTGCTTGACTTCCTGTGAATTCATTCATTGTACTAAGGTGCTTTTGCTCTGACTTAAAAGGGTCAGTCTGGAATAAAGCAAGGTGGCTAGAGCCTCTAGGAAAGGTCCCATGTGTTGTGTGTTGGTTTATTAAGTTTGGCGCCCAAATGTGGGGCTTGAGATATAGGGAAGCAGTGAAGGAAACAACCTCAGGTGTTGTCGAACTGGAATTGTAAAGTAAAAGGGTGCAGTGAATAAATCTGAGAGTAAAAATGGGACAAGGCAGTCGAGTTTTTTGTATAGAATTTAATTAGAAATAGTCTGTCTATGCAGCATGGAACTGAGAAAGTGAAACTTTTAGGGTTAAAGAGAAAGAGGATAGAAAAATGGGAAGCTTCAAGACAAAACGAGATTAGACCATCAGCTCCTCCAGAAGAGCTGTATGTCCCTCCTAATGATAATAATTTCTTGTTAGGAGAAGACTTTGAGAATGACTCAGATCCTGATAAGGTTGCAGAGTTGGAGGAAAAACACTCTAGGCACAATGGAAAAGATATAACTGAGTTTTATGGTTTTCCAGAGCAAACTGATGGACAGGTTAATATGGTGAAAGTCCATGCACCTATATCTCTTAAACAATTAAAGGAATTGAAAACTACATGCTCTCAATATTGTCCTACATCAGCTTTTACTCAAGTTCTGTTAGAGTCCTTGTCCCCTCTGCCCAGGGGACCGGAAGCAATTCGCAAGAGAATGTTTAGCAGAAGATCCTGTTGTGGAAGTTAGAACTTGCTGAGCAGTGTCCAGCTAAGGCTAAAATCACTCGGAGGTAGGGGGGAAAAAGGGTGGTGGTGGGGGCAGCTTCTCGGTTTTTCCAGTAAGAAAGCTAATGGTTAATTATGCTACAAAGCTTCTATGGTCATAAAAAAATCAGATTCACAAGTAGCAAGGTGTTTTGTCTCTCTGTCTTAAAGGTATAAATTTACCATGTTTAATGTCTTGGTTATAGATTATTGGTTATTGGGTATGGTTAAAATCTGTAACATAAAGTTAACTTACTTAAAACCTAGGATTAAAACCATTCTAAACAAGTCACATAACAATTGATACTTTTTCAGGATTTATCATGGCAACTCCCTTAGCAGGAGAAGCCACCAAACATGTTATAAGTCATTGCTTAAAGTGTTTTGTTACAGTTGGTATTCCTTCCATTATAAAGACTGATGATGGTACTGCATATATTACTCAAGCTTTTCAGCGTTTCTGTACACAAATGAATATAAGTCATAAAATAGGTATTCCATATAATCCTCAAGGCTAAGGAACTATGACACATTCTCATGGATCTCTTAAGAACCAATTGCAAAAATAACAAAGGGGAGTCATATTCCCAAATCTTAATCATGCTCTTTAAAATTTTTTAAATGTGGATATACCTGGCCATTCTGCAGCTGATCGATTGTGGCACCCTAATACCAAACATAATTATACTCAAGTAAAATGGAAAGATCTGATTACTGGAATATGGTAGGGCCCCAACCCCATATTAATATGGGGAAGAGGACATATCTGTGTGTCCTTAGGATGCAAAAGGAGCCAGGTGGATCTGAGAAAGGCTGGTACAATTTGCAGTTGTTCCCTGGAAGGAGGATGTTCCTGCTGTTGACCATGGTGAATTCTGTCCTGATGGTGAACAGAGAGCTCTATTGGGCTAATGCTCCTGACCAACCTTTGTTTCATTCTGCTCCTGGGAGAAGATGTTATACAGAGAAACCTCTTATACAATGTGACTGGACTCGATTGATCTGGTAATGAGGACAATTCTCAACAAAATCAGGAAGAATGGAAAAGAGGACTGGCTATGGGACTTTGAGCTGATTCTGGTTTTCAGCAGACCTATATATGGAGGATTGCCACAGAAACTCTTGGGAGGCCCTGTAACTGCCTATGTAAATTCTCCTTATGCCCTGTTTGGAAATGTTAATGTTTTTATACAAGATTCAAACTTTAATGTTTCTTGCCATCAATGTAAACTAACAAACTGTATTTCTAAGCTTTCAAATGGTTCTGATTGTTCAACAGCTTTTTATTATGGCTCCTGTGAATGTTTCTCAGGCTTGGTTTTTATACTAGGGGTCATCGTTTAAGTCACTTATGGAATGTTATTTGGACGTGGCTTATTACTCTTTTTAGGAGCATATCTCCTACTAGTGACAATTAAAAACTTCCTGAAGGCCTTTTAGTATGTTAAAGCCGATCTGATCTGCATAAGATTAAGCCCCAGTATCTACCCTAGTGGAGGTTGGTAGTCAAAAATGGATAAGCTCTCTCTAAAAAAGATTCAACCTAAGACAGGGCATGAATTATGGAATTCATGTACCAATGACAGGTAAGAATATATCTTTTAAGAGACAACCTCTCTGGGTAAGATGCTCAGTCTTCATTCAGAAGGGCAAACAAGACAGACATTAGAAGAGGGAGAAAACAGGGAACAGGACAAGAGCCTATCACAGAGTGCCTCTGAAAGACTCTACCCAGCAGGGTTTCAAAACATATGCTGAGATTCATAGCCAAACTTCAGGCAGAGTGCAGGGAATCTTATGAAAGAAGGGGGAGATGGAAACAGGAGCTGCACAAGGAGAGCAACAGAATCCAAAAATTTTGGCACTGGGGTCTTTCTGAGACTGATACTTCAAACAAGGACCATTCACGGAGATAACTTAGAACTCCTGCACAGAAGTAGCCCATGGCAGCTCAGTGTCCAAGAGGGTTCCCCAGTAATAGGAACAAGGACTATCTCTGACATGAACTCATGGGCTGGCTCTTTGATCACCTCCACCTGAAGGGGGAGCAGCCTTACCAGTCCACAGAGGAAAACAAAGAAGCCAGTCCTGATGAGACCTGACAGACTAGGGTCAGATGGAAGGGGAAGAGGACCTCCCCTATTATTGAACTGGGGGAGGGGCATAGGAGAAGGAGAGGATGGGATTAGGGAGGGGATGGGGGAGAGGGCTACAGCTGGGATACAAAGTGAATAAACTGTAATTAATAAAAATTACAAAAAAAGAGAGAGAACCTAAGACAGGCACAATCTTCTGCTCCATCACTCTTAAGTTATGGTCAATTTTTAAAATATAAAAAAGGGAGACCTGTTGGGAGCCCCTGGTCTGCCAGGCTGCTTTGTTATTTAGATCTCAGCAGAAAGACTGCTTTTGCCCTGGCCTTCACTGGAGTCAGTGATAAGCTACCAAGCCTATCTCCTTTTGAGACAGCAGGTAGGATGTCTTGTCAAAGTAACCCTTTTGTTTGACTTCCCTGTGAATTCATTTATTGTGTTTTTGTTCTGTCTTAAAATGGTCAGTCTAGAATAAAGCAAGGTGGCTAGCTTCTGCTAGAGCCTCTCAGAAAGGTCCCATGTGTTGTGTGTTGGCTTATTAATTTCAATCCTCACTCCCGACTCAAGAACCATTCAACTCTGCCAGTGGGCTCTGGCAACAAGCTCTCATTATGTAGTTGACTTTGCTATAGAGAGCAGGATAGGCTCCCAAGTTCTGAAACTGTAGCCCTCTGCCCAACACACTCTCTTCTCACAGCATTTTAGTTGTCCCTTGGGAGTGTGAGGGGGTGAGGCAGGTTGGTTGACAACTATTATCTGAGGACCCAACAGAGACAGGGATTGAATTTAGAGCAGGAAACAGCAGCAGCCACAAGACTGATCTGTCCTGCATGGCTCAGGCCACCCTGCAGAACAGGACTGGAATTATCGCACCACAGCACACAGCTGATAGGGAGAGGGAGCAACTGGGATTGCAAAGACACGGTGGTCGCTGGGCCGGGGCTGTCCATCAGGCACCGAGAAGCTAAAGCGCTGCAGGAGGCAGCTGAAGAACAGGAAGAGCTCCATGCGGGCCAGGGGCTCCCCCAGGCATACTCTGCGGCCTGTGTATGGGAGAGGGGCTCAGTCACCCAGGGACCTGGCCTCACAATTCAAGGCATTCTGGGAAGGGGAAGGGAAGCCAGGCACCCCACAGGCACCTGCTGAGAATGGCATGAAGGCCTCATGCTTCACAAAGTAGCCCTGGGCATCCAGGAAGTGCTCAGGATGGAACTGGAGGGGCTTCTCCCACACAGTCTCGTCCTTCAGCACGGAGGACAGGTTGGTGATGAGGGTGGTCCCCTGGCAGGAGAGACATGGTGTGGACATGGACTGGGGTGACTCTGGTCACTATGATCACATGCACAGTCTGTGCCTCACACACTGGATCCTTTCACTCACCCTCAACCCCGGAGCATCTCAGCATCTTCTCTACGCCATGGAGGAGTGTCCTGTGAGTAGTCTCCCATGGAGGCCCAAACCAACCCTTGTTCCTTTGTGCTGTGCTTCCTAAGATCCCTGACGCTCAAATCATTGGGCATCCCTCTTCCCTGGGGATCCTTGGGCAATGGCTGTAGTATTCTCACAACCAGGTTGGAAATCCAGGATGTTGGTCTTGTTCTTTGCCGCCCTTGTTTGCCTAGAGCGATCCTGGGACAAGGGTCCCCATTCCTACCTTGGGGATGCGGAAGCCCTGCACTTCAATGTCACGGGATACCATATGTGGAAAATTCACTGGAGCGATGTCTGCAAAGCGCTGCACCTCATGGACCACAGCATTGGTGTAGGGCATGCAGGCCTGGTCTGCCATCTCTGGACGCCGCGCCTGCCCGATGACTTCATCGATTTCCTGCTGGACACGGCCTGGGCATACAGGACCCCTCAGTGAAGGAGCCCCAGGGGAATGCCCCTTGTCCCTCTACTACCTCTACATTAAGGGCTGGGTCCATGGGAGAAAGATGGCTTCACCCTTGTAGAGTCTGGGTCAAGCCAGGGCTGGAAGCCACAAGTACCTCAGATAAGGTATCTGAGAGTGTGCCTCTATCTTCCCTCCCTCCCAGCCCCAGGCAGGCTCACGCTGCACATCCGGGTGCAGGATCATGAGCAGCAGGGCCCAGGACAGTGTGGTTGACGTAGTCACCATCCCTGCTGTGAACAGGTCGGCCACCACCATGTGTAGGTTCTCATCGTTGAAGCTGCTCTCAGGATTCCCCTTGGCCTATATCAGGCAGAGAGCATGGGCTCAGGAGAGAAAGGGAAGAAACCCCTTAATACCCGCCAACTGTCTTCAGGCAGCCTAGGTGCTGAGACAGAGTGACACACAGGCCCTACCTGCCTGGCCTCAAACCACAGGACACTTTAACCAACGCCTCTGACCCCATCTCCACAGCTGTCCCTCACCTTCTCCACCTCAGCCAGGAAGGCATCAGTCAGGTCTCGGGGTGGCTGGGCAGGGTCCCAGGTCATCTTGTGCTCACTCAACAGATTCTCGAATATGGCCATGAATACCTTCTTCCGTGGGAAGGCCTTGTCAGCCAGGCCTGGGATGCGCAGGAGCACCGGGAGCATGTTGAGAGCCTGTGACAGCCACAGAGGGAGTCTCAGGGCTTCCTCTTTGTAAAAGTAATTAATTATTAATTAATCACTATTAATTAACAGGGCTCAGGTACCATGGTGTGTGTGAGCAAGTGACAGGATCAATTGTCTCTACCCTACAGGGGTCCCAGGCCTCAAACTCAGGTCTCCGGGCTGCTTGGAAAGCTTCTTACCCGTTCAGCATTTGGCTGGCCCTTGGGGCTAGCTATGCTCAGTGTCCACGTGGACCAGTCTCCACCGCCTCCTTCACAATGGACCTGGGGCCATCACCTGGCCTTGAGGCTCTTACAGCCCCAGGTGAACAAAAGAAATATTTTACCCTGGCAACCACAGCCATAGGTGGCTTCTATGTCGACAGAGGGCACAGGTCCTCTCGCTCTCTAGAAACCCTGAGCTGGGTCCACTTCTCCCCTCCTGTTGTCACAGGTTTGTCAACAGGCCTATCCTCCTGCAGTTGACTCCCAGAAGGCTTCTCCCCTGGCCTTGGTACACAGCTTCCTCTGGGAGGATGGACCACACAGAAGTGGCTCTGCGGGCTGCCCTGGGCCTCCTACCTCAGGAATGAAGCCAGAAACATCTTCTAAATGTTCTTCTATTATTTTCAAAATGCTGGTGAAGTAAGGGTCTCCATACTCAAAGCGTTGGGCATAAATGAGGGATGCGATCACATTGCACACCGATTTGTTCAGGAGGGTTTTTGGATTGAAGGGGCTCCCTGGGAGTGGAGATGCAAGCACGTCAAGACATCGTTTCTGTCTCCCTGTGCCCATCTGCCTCCCTCGGCCATCACCCACCAGCCTGGTCGCTGAAGGCATCACAGAGGTGGCCAGCCTCCTCCGTCACCCACTGCTCCAGCGATTTCCTGCCCAGGCCGAAGTTGCGCAGGGTGGACACACAAAATCGCCGCTGCTCTCGCCACTCGGGCCCATAAGGTGCAAGGACCACACCTGCAGACACATCTGTGCGTGACCAAGGACACCTGGCCATGCTGCCCTCTGCTTTCAGCCCTCAGCAACCTTTTGTTGCATTGCTTGACTCCATCACTACCCCTGTCCTTCCTCTGCTGCCCACAAGCCAACCCATGACACCGCTTTTGCCCACCCCAGTCCCCTGTTGCCACAGCCCTTTGCCTTTGGATTTAGGCCCAAAGCCTGGGTTCTCATAGGCTGGTAATGGAGGACGGTCTGCAGTGTCCTCTCCACAGGTCACCAGCACCTCGTGCACGGCCTTCAGTCCACTGATAACGACCACGGGCTTCCAGGCCATCTGCAGGCTGAACACATCACCATAGCGACACCGAAGCTAAAGTGGAGGAACAGAGCGCTTACAAAGCGGTCCCTAGCAAAGGCTAGAACCAGGCTCACCAGGAGAGCCTTAATGTATTGCTCATGCATGCATGGACGCACGCATTTGTGTGTGTCGCTTGTTACAGACCTCGGAACCTTACATAGCCTGGGCAAATGGTCTACCTACTATGGGGCTTTGCTGGACTAGGTTGAAGTCTGACATCTCCGGATAGCCATTTGTTCGCGCTGGGTCTATGATGACTCCCTTTTCTCATCAAGGCCTAGAAGCTCCTCTCCCTGATCTGGGTGACCCCGAATTTTGTAAGGAGTCTCACATTGCCAGATTATAGGCCGGCCTCTTTCCTGATAAGGAAACTGGTCCAACAACCATCTGGGAATTCCTAGAAATGCCTTATCCTGCTGAGGATCTTAGTCTTCAGCAGCGACTTTTAGCTGTACTTGGAGATTTCCCCTCGCCCCTACGATAATTAAGGACTGTATTTTCCTTCTCGTGATAGGACCATGCTGCTGCATGAAAAATGAGGCACTGTACCATTACATGTAAATTAATTATCCCTGACCCCCTGACCTCACTGAATCAAACACATTCACCCTCGAAATCCCTCCCACTGCCCAAGGCTTATAAATCCCTGATTTCAAATAAACGTGCTGGGGTTTTGTGCTGCATGATACTATGAGCCTTCTACCACAGCAGTCTGAGATTTGTCATTTACTCCTGCCAGGCCAAGTCTCACAGCCTGACCTCCAGCCCTCTTGGCCTGGATCTTGCCAGGCCTGGGCCTTGGCTGCAAGCTGACCAAGCATGAGCTTCTTCCCAAATCTCCGGTGTGCTCAGCACAGCAGCTTAGCCAAGAGCTTTGGCATTGCCATAGGCTTTGGAACACCTGAGTTTCCACTGAGATCTCATTCTAAAAGACCTAAACTGTAATGAATCCTCTGTGGAAAACCTTCTCCACACCCCAGCTTGGTACCTCACTCTAAAAGTGCTCTAACTGGCCCTGAGAGAAACGAAAACACGCATACACACACCACCACCATCACCATTCGACATCCGGAAGCTGAGCCTAGTGGATAATGACAGCCAGAGTCCCATCTCCTGCCTGAGATATGGGCCTTTGTGGTTGGGGTGTCTCATCTTCCACACTCAGCAAAGGACTCATCACGGATGAGCGACCACCCTGTTGTGACCTTGCCAGAGCAGGGACACTGCCTCTGGGCCCCATAAGCATCTCACTGCACATGATGAATCTCGGGTTCAGCAGTAAGAGCTGAGATCACACATCACCTCTCTCTTAGTTTCCTCACTGACATGCTGCATTAGGCCCTGATCCCTCTCCCGAATCCCAGACACTTCATTCACTGAGCAATGGATCACAGGGGACTTGGGGCCCTGTGACTTCTGCTCTAATGAATCCCAAACCTGCTGTCAAATCATGCCCCACATTGTAAAGGTATCCTTTATTTGCCTGGGGTAATTGTCCTCTCTGAGGCTTACTGCCTCTGACTGCCAACCTAGACCTAGGCCTGGAAGCTTCTAGCCTTTATAAAATCTAATCTAGGCCCAGACTGTTTTCAGCCTCTGAGACTTAGTGCTGAATAAGCTCAGCCTTTCTAGCTCTTTCAAACTCTGGCTGGCTGGTTCAACTCAACTCTGGTTCAAACTCTTCTCCAAGCCAGGGGAGAGCGGGACACACTTTTAATCCTAGCACTCGGGGAGACAGAGGCAGATGGATCTCTATGAGTTCCAAGGCCAGCCTGGTCTAGAGTGAGTTCCAAGACAGCCAGGGCTACACAGAGAAACTGTGTCTCAAAACAAAAAAACAAAAAAGCAAAAACAAAAACAAAAAAACAAACCAAACAAACAATACAGCTAAATGATTCAAACTGGCTTCTCCCACTTCTGACTGAATTGCTCTGCCTAGCCTCACACTAACTTTGACAATCTGTCCTAATCTTTTGGCTCCTTCTCATTCTCTGGCTCGTTCTGTCTTCACCTGTGCCTAGCCTGTGCTCTGTTGGCAACGTGTCTCGTTAAAACTCTCCAGGTAAACTCTGCCTCCTCTCTCCCTCTGTGCTGCTCTCTTAAGGGGCCTCTCTTTCAACTCTGTTCTCCTGAGGAGACAACCATGCCTGACAACCCCCTCCCCTCTCCCCAAAGTCATCAGTCCCAGGAACTAGGCCATGGGTCACCAATTCCAGGAATAAGACCATAAAATCCCCTATCCAAGGAATACCCTAGACCAGATCTTCCGGGAGTCCTACTGGGTAATATTTAACCATCACCCCTAGCAGTGGCCAATCAGTGACCACCCAAAGTTTACCCAGTTCTTTACAACAGGTTGGGTTACGGTTTGGCCCTCGGGATACCGGACATTGGCTAAATGTCAATCAATCATAGAACTGCCAAGCTGGAACTCCCCAAACCTTGCTGTAACCCCAATAAACAACCCTCTCGCCCTGAGCTCAGGGCTCTACACTGGAGAACCACTGTGTGGCCTGAGCTCAGGCTTGTAATAAAGACCCTACTGTGTTTGCACTGGAATTAGCTCTGTGGTGGTCTTTGTGGCCTTGGGCGTAACAGTGAGAGTTGGGCATATCCTTTTCTGTCAGATCTGATACCTCACTTGTCTGCCTCTCAATTAGACATCACTTTCAAACATTGCTGCTTCCTTCTACAAACTAACATACCTTCATTAAAGGTGTATATTAAGGGCGTGTCTGCTTTCTAGCCCAATCACACAGACCTTGAAGGTCTTCGGATGTGAGCAGAACAGACATGTTGCTGGATTAAAATTCCTCCACACCACCTCCTGCCCTTCCTGTCCGAGTGTCTTTGCCCTTGAAAAGTTGAATGTCCTCGGGCTTGCAAGTGCCCTCCTTCAGGAGGCGGAGAAACCTCAACCCTTCCTCTTGAGGACCTGTTGCTTCCACACCATGCACTGCTAGGAAAACTATGCGTCTGCTGCCCTCCACCAGCCTATCTCCTCACCTTGTGGAAGCTCTGTGGAGTATTCTGGTAGTCCACCTGCAGCAGGTTGCCCAGCACAGGCCACGGCACAGGGCCTGGTGGGTAGCGGGCAGTCCAGCGCTGGCGCCGATGCATCAGGTCTACCAGCAATATGAAGATGACCGTGAAGATGGCCACGGGCCACAGACCATCACCAGGCAGCAGCCCCATGGCTGTCTCACTACTTTCTCTGACGTTTTCCCCCCTTTGATTTTTCGAGACAGGGCTTCTGTGTAGCCCCGGCTGTCCTAGAACTCTGTAGACCAGGCTGGATTAAAACTGTTCAGCTACCACGTCCGGCTTTTCTCTGGCTTTTTTTTTTAGGAAAACCTCAGGGCCCTCACTCAAGCTACACGGGATCAGGAAAGACACTCATCCACAGCCTGGGCATTTGAGCTCTTAGAAAGGAGGCAAGCTTGCTTTTTGTCCTCTGCTTTGAGCTAAGTTGTTGACTCTTGCTCTTGGGTTAGAAGGCGGGTTTACTCCCCCTGAGGGGAGTACCCACAGAGGAAGAGAAAGCAGCCAATCCTGATGAGACCTGACAGGCTGCGGTCGGAGGGAAGGGGAGGAGGACCTCCCCTAACAGTGGACTCGGGGAGGGGCATGGGAGGAGATGAGGGAAGGAGGGTGGGATTGGGAGGGGACGAAGGAGAGGGCTACGGCTGGGATACAAAGTCAATAAACCGTAACTCATAAAAAAAAGTAAATAAATTATAAAAAAGAAGGCGTTGTTTAGAGAAGAGGCAAAGCAAGCTAGATACACAGCCCCAGAGGTTCTTTCCCTCGGTGTGTTGGCGGGGTGGGGTGGGGAGCAGGGCGGGGAGAGGGAGGAAGGGGAGGGAGGGGGCGGGGCATCAAACGCTGGGCGTTAAGTTCCAAAGGAGCTGCGCACGGTGCTTCTGTGTGAACGTGGTAGGTGTTGGAATAGGTAAACAAGCGTCTCTATGGCCAGCTCCCAGGGGACCTCAGACATCCCTGTGGCCACCTCCGGAAACTCAGCGGAGTCGAGTCCCTTCACCACCACTGCGAGACGCGCTTCTGTTCGTCCTGCGCATGCGCTGGGTCCCACCCTTTCCCCGCCCTTCCTCTCTCTATCTATCTCTCCTCTCGCCTCACCCAGAGACTCTAGTAAAGCCTCCCACGTGGAACCTGTGGTGTGAGGTGATTTATGACCCGCCCTGTAAATCTTTACAGTGTGCAGGTGTCGGGTGAGCTGCTTCGAGGTTGGCCACAAGTCAGTCACCTGCTCTGTAACGCAGGGAGGGGTCTCGACCAGACTGGAGTAAGAGCCGAGTTAACTGTAGAGGGCTGACTGGTACTGCAGGTTACACCACTTGGCTGTCGCAAGAGTACTACTTACGTAGCTTGTGGGAGGTGAGAGGGTGGCAACCAAGGCCGGGGAATTTTTTGAACATGTCTGAGGTTGTTGAATTGATCAGGAAGGCCAGACTCAGAACCTGGACGATTCTTAGGCCAGATCTGAGAACACTGAGAAAACTGTAAACAACTGCCAGAGAATTCGCTGAGGTCCATGGGTTTGGGCCCTTTGTGTATGTGGGTGCTGCGTTTTGTTTTTTCAAGACAGGGTTTTCTCTGTGTAGCCCTGTCAGTCCTGGAACTTGCTCTGTAGACCAGGCTGGCTTGAACCCACAGAGATCCGCCTGCCCCACCTCTGCCTCTCGAGTGCTGAGATTAAGGACATGCATCACCACTGCCCTGCCCTAGGTAAGGTTCTTGTCACCTGCCACTGGCCTCTGTGTCTTTTATTCTCCCTTTGTCTCTTGGCGGGTCAATCTCTCCCCCAACAGTCTTCCACACGGGGATAGGTAGGGCAGTGTCGTCCTCATGCCAGCGGCCTGTGGTTAGGGTGGGCAGCCATGAGGAAAACAGAAAAATGACCCCCCAAGCCTTTGATCAAATGGCACTGGTGGGCCTGGCACTGCACATGCCAACTTGTCACTCACTGGGGTCAGCAAAGGCTCTGACCCTGACCTCCCTGGAGATCCAGACCTCTGAAGCCCGGAGGCTCAGAAGTCCCAGTGGAATGGAGGCAGGCGCTGTCTGCTGCACCCTTCAGTGTGGCAAAGGAGGCAGGGGGTGAGTTGGAGTAGAAGCCCTGAGAGCACAGCAAGGACTGGACACTGCTCTCCTCTCCACTGTCCATGCTACCCCTCCTTAGTTGATCTCCATGTCACCGAGGCCTGTGGGTGGCTCCATGCTTGTTGCTGGCCTACAGGCACCAGTATTCATTCTGTACTCTGTAACCAGTGCCAGACCACGATGGAAGTACCATTCAGGCTGGAAAATTCAGCAGGCAGAACCAGGCATGGTGGTATATGCCTTTAATCCCAGCACTCAGGCAGGGAGAGGCTGGCAGATCACTGTGAGTTCAAAGCCAGCCTGGTCTATAAAGAGAGTCCAGGACAGCCAGAGCTACACAGATAAACCTTATCCTGAAAAACCAAAGCAAACAACTCAGCGAGTAGATAGTACCACCACCCAAAACTAAAAGACCTAACCCATCAAAAATCCATATAGTTCTGGGAAATTCTCAAAATGTACTAGCTTGCTTTTTGGCTTCTGCAGTTCTGTTCCTGCGTAACTGTTCTTATTAACAGAAGTACGTCAACCCAAAACATGGTTTTTGTGCTTAAAAGCTCACCCTGAGAAAAGCTTGGGGCTACACTGGGTTCCCAAACACCCACTGTAGTTACTAGCTGGCTAATAAATACTTTCTTACATTTACAGTTGTGAACCTAGCCTTTAAATCGCTGAGCTATCTCTCCAGCCCAAAATAAAGACCTTCAATTGGCTTAAACCCACCTCTGAGCAGTCTTCTCTGGTGAATACCCCACAACATGCTCCTTTCCAGGTCCAACTCAATAATATCGTAGATTGGAACCCTAGGGTGGGCCACCAACAGGGGTGAGGTGAGAGTTTTGGTTTCTTTTAAAACCCAATTATGTCATGTGAATAATCCCAGGTGTGGGGTGTGGGGCTGCGTCACAGCTGGTGATTATGATTTGCCTCATGCTCTAGCAGAGGTTCGATCTCCGCCAACTGCAGATAGTTTACGTTTGGAATTCTGGGGACTCTTGAGAGGGTGTAAATGTCAGAGTGCAGAGGAATGGGGACCTCCGAGAAGGCGCTGCTGCTCTCCCCTGCTGCTCCTGGTTGCTAGTTTATCAAGTGGTTGAAAGAAAGGAGACAAGAAGATGTTTGAGATATTCTGACGAAGTCTGAACTTGCCCCCCCAAACCCAAAGGCCCTAATTAGCAGGAAGTAGTCTAAAAATGTCTACATCCCTTACCCCTCTAACCTTCTTTCTCTACCTAGAGTTCCATCCTAATAAGGGTGGAAGGTGTGGGGGGGGCGAGGTATAAGAATCCAATAAAGTAGGGAGAATAAATACTCCTACACAATGCTCTTCCTATAGCTCCATCTTGGTGGAAAGGAAAATCCTTACAGGAGTCAGGACAGCAGCCAGCATGGGTCGACAATTGCACTCTGGTCTCTGCGAAGCTCAGGCAAGTGGTTTCCTCCAAGGCTGTCATGAGGCCACTCTCAGCTCAACTTCTAATGCCTGGAGACTAGCCCTGGGTGTTAAATGCCATATCCCCTACCTCTCTTTGGGGACATTATGAAAGGGGCACAATGGTGCTGACTGGGGACTGGCCCCAGGGTGGGGCAAGCCGACCCAGGCCTGATTTTCCTGCTTCAGGTAAGTGAGCCCCTTGAGGTGAGTGCACGGACAGGGGAGGGATGTCACACACTCTATGTTGTGAAGGGTCTCTGTTGTGCCACCGGCTCTTGGGAGGTGACCTGGATTTATTTTATTTTACTTTATTGTCTGTTTTTTTGTTTTTTGTTTTTTTTTTTTTTAAAACAAGGCCGTGGATTCACTCTGTAGACCAGGCTGGCCACGAGCTCACAGAGATCTTCCTGTCTCTGCCTCCCAGAGTGCTGGGATTATGTGTGTGCCCCACTGCACCCGGCTGATGACCTAGATTTAAAGAATTGTATAATGTAAATCTATTTCCTTGAAATTTTTCTAGGAAATAAAGTTCTTTGAGTATATCACTAGCGGACAGCCATCTAATACCCCTATTTAATTTTATTGTATTAAAATATTACTTATCATGATGGCGTGGTGGTACACATATGAAATCCTAGCCCTTGGGAGGTAGAGGCAGGCAGGTTAGGAATTTACACCATTCCCAGCTGTGTAGAAAGAGCCTGGGCCAGATGAGGCTGTGTGTTTCAAAACTACAAAATAAATAAATAGCTCTTTGAGTTAAATGTTACTTATCTTGGTTATTGAACGTTTGGTGTTGGGCCTGCCATGCCTCCTGACCACCACACGTTACTGGGTTTACCAGTCTTAGCTCAGCTGACCTGCTGCTGGGCGTTCCACCTGTTACACCTCCTTCCTTGCCTTCAGCGAGAGGAGTCTACTAGTTTCTCAGAGCTGCCACAGAAGGACTGAAAATGTGTAGTCAGTCCTCCAACATGGAGGCCTGCCTGTAGGAAGGGGGTGGCCTTGCTATTCCTGGCTTTCATCCACCTGTCAGGCGAAGTTATACCTATAACTTCGATGAACAAATTGTAGACCGGGCTCCTCAGGCTACCCAAACAAACAAGACCACGGCACAGCAATCCCACTCACAGGTGTGTAGGTATAGGTCCTAGTGTGAGACAGTGTGGACGGCGAGAGGACAAAGCTGACACTGCGGCTGAGTAGCTCAATCCTCCTGCCTTTGCCTCCAGAGCTCTGGGCCCAAATGCACAGGTCGCCAAGTCCAGGAACAACATAGTTTTCAAGTTTGTTTTTGGTTTTGTTTTGGGACAGCATCTCTCTGTGTAGTCTGGGAGCTCACTGTGTAGACCAGACTACATTGGGACATTCCTGAGGAGGACGGTCACCTGGGTGCCTTCTCTGCTTCTCTGAGCTTTCACCCCAGCATCTGGCTTCTGAGCCTTTATTGGTAAAATGGAAAACAAATGTTCGAGGTTTTATTAAAAACAGGCGGCATGGGCTTTTGGAACCTAAAAGCCCACCTGCAGTGACACACTTTCTCCAACAAGGCCACGCCTCCTGATCCTTCTAATCCTCAGATTGTCCCACTCCCTGGTGACTAAGCATTCAAATTTAGGAGTCTATTGGGGGCCTGTTTTGTTTTTCCCAGAAACAGGGTTTCTCTGTGTAGCCATGACTTCCCCCCCTGTGTAACCCTGGCTGTTCTGGGCTAGCTATGGAGACAAGGCTGGCCTCAAACTCACAGAGATCCACCTGCCTCTGTCTCCCTGAGTGCTGGGATTACAGGGGTGTACCACCATGCCCTGCTTGGGGGCCGTTCTTACTCAAGCTACCACACTTTTCTTGCAAGGCAGAGATAGAGAGAGACAGTGAAAGAATAGTTTACTTAACAT